AATAAATCTTCTAAGAAAGCTATCAGGGTATGGAATGTGATTGGTTACTTCTGAAATCTTTCACATTTGCAATACTACCATAGCATAAGAAAGCATATTATATTTTAGAGAAACTGCCTAACACTACTGAGCTTACATAGCACTAATTTTGCAAAATTATTTTTCATTCTTGCTATAACAAATTATTGAGAGATTACAATTTGTAAGGCACTGTGCTAAAGAATGAAAATACAAAGCTGAGACATACTTCCTGATGTTGAAGAATTCTCACTCTAACGACAGGTATAGATGTACTAATAAGCTATCATAATGTAGTCTTGTAAATTTAATCTTACAGGATGTTAATGAAAGTGATAGCACATGATATAATATGGAATTGGAAAGTCTTTCTGGGAAAGAAAGTACACAAGCAGAGATTTAAAAGGTAAACAGGAGCTAGCTAGGTAAATCAGCTGGAAAATAGTAAATCATTCCTGGCATGTGTCACAGAATAAGAAATGCTCTATAAAATATATTATTTGAATAATTTTTGGAGTTTAAAGAAAATTAGGAAGTGACAAGAGATTATGCTAGAAAAATATGTAAAGATCAGATCATGGGGGACTTTATACTTCATACTTACCATTTTAACTTTCATCTTGTAGCTATTTCAGAGGTTGGGCATTTAACCAAGCAAAAGGAAAGACACAGTCAGATTTAAAACTTAAATAGGCTACTTTGCTAATAAAGGACTGATTTCAGGAGAGTATTCCAGAATTGACACCTCTTCTAAAGCAGATTAATTTGTTAATGAGACATATTGTGGAGACCTGGTCTAGAGAAGTAATTTGGGGAAAAGATGTGCAAAGAATGCAACTAAGAAGTGATTATAAACAATAAATGCTGGAGAGGGTGTGGAGAAAAGGGAATCTTCCTACACTTTTAGTGGGAATGTAAATTGGTACAACCATTATGGAGAACACTACGGAGGGTCCTTAAAAAACGAAATATAGAACTACCATATGATCCAGCAATCCCACTCCTGGGCATATATCCAGAGAAAACCATAATTGAAAAGACACATGCACCCCGATATTCATTGCAGCACTATTTACAATAGCCAAGACATGGTAGCAACCTAAATGTCCATCAACAGAGAAATGGATAAAGAAGATGTAGTACATATATACAATGGAATTTTACTCAGACATAAAAAAGAATGAAATAATGCCATTTGCAGCAACATGGACGGACCTAGAGATTACCATATTAAATGAAGTAAATCAGACAGAGACAAATACCGTATGATATTACTTATATGTGTAATTAATTAAAAATGATATAAATGAACTTACTTACAAAACAGAAACCGACTCACAGATCTCAAAATCAAACTTACGGTTACCAAAGGGGAAACGTGGGGGGAAGTGATAAATTAGGAGACTGGAATTAACATATACACACTACTATATAGAAACTAGAGAACTAATAACGACCCACTGTATGCACAGGGAACTCTACTCAATATTCTGTAATAACCTATATGGGAAAAGAATCTGAAAAAGAATGGAAATATACATATGTATAATTGATTCACTTTGCTGTACACCTGAAACTAATACAACATTGTAAGTCAACTATACAATAAAAATTTAAAAAAAAAAGTGGTTACAGAATGAGCTTGTGGTGTTTTTGCTTACTTAATTGTGAAAAGGTATTAACAAGTTTTCTAACTTGATAACTAAATGGTTTTGCAATGTTTTATTTCAGTAAAGAACTTTAAGATGGATTAAATTGTAGAGATAGGATATAATCACTAATTCATTTGACAAGATCTAAAGTAATCCAAGTTCTCCTAAAGACACTTTAGATTCTTTCTGAAACTCTTTTCCATTACATATTCTTGAAATCTTCTGCAGGGAGGTGGTGGTCATGATTCAACAATGTGAATGAAATAACTGCAATAAGGCACATCAATAAATTTGTTTCTGTTAAACATGGCAAAAATAAGTACCTATGTTATTGTGTAGCCATAAACCAATGATATTCATTTGTTCACTTATTAATAATGATTAATTAATCACCTAATCTAGGCAAGGCATTATAAGTATTGTGTGGAAAACTATGTTCTCACCTATGCTAAAATCTTTAAAAATCTATAAGAATATAAGAATATAAAATCTCTAAGATTATAAAAAGTAAATTGACCAATTAGGCATATAAGATTAGTTTCATAAAGATGATGCAAAAAACATTGACAAATTTTCACCTTTTCCACATTTTGTAACTGTGCTATGTAAACACAGTCAACTTTTTGAAGAATTTGAGATATTTAATTATATGGTTTTGGTAGAATTTGTACCATATTCCATTTAGTTATTTTATCAGTTTTATTAAAATTGATGATACATTAAAGAATTTATCATAAACAAAAACTCTCTATATGTTGTACATATTTTAAAGCTCTATTACAAATTGTATATAAATTTTAAATTATTCAATATCCCAAGCTTATTGATACTTTCCTGATTATAAAACATCTTTCTTTAGAAATTTTTTTAAACTTACATTTAATTTTTCTACAATTTTTTGGTTAGGTAATATGACATGAAACTTGTTTTTTTCAATTTTTCTTTGTTCTTATATTTAATGTGCTTTTTTTTTTATATGTGACCTGTAGACATTTCTCCCCTAAATTCAATGTGAGAATCATAATCTTTTAATTGTAGTGTTTAGTTGGTTTACATTTCATATAATTACTGATAATATTTGAGATGTTAGCTAAAATTTTAATTTTTTACTTTGGGTGACACCTAGAGTGGAAAAAGATTATGGGAAACCAACCAAGGATTAAAAGGAGTAAGTGATAGCTCTTTGTTAGTCTACTTCTGTTTCTTACTTTGAGTTTTCCCTGAAGCAGAGCCTGAGACAAAGTTTTGAATGCAAGTATTACTTTTGTTTAAGGAGGTGATTCGAAAAAACATCAGTAGGGGAGTGGCATTTTAAGGCTGGGAAGGAAAAGATATGGAATATGATTTTACCAAAACCTTAATAACTCTGCTAGTCTCAGAATTTCTGGCTTGAACTGGTTTGATTTCTCTCTCTCTTTTAATTTTTCTCCTGAATGTATTCTGTCATTTTCATGCTCTGGATCCACACAACACACATTCTACGTACAGAAAATGAGCCAGCAGCTTAGTTGCTTCCTCCACAATATTTTCTTGGCATGCTTAAATAAGGAACTCTTAAATAAGGAGCTTCTATCCCTGCCCCATTGTGGACCACATCTATTATCATTAGTGTCAACAACTCTAAATTAGGCTCTCTCTTTCGTCATCAATAAACTAGTCTAAGGTCTTGTACTTATAGCAGTCCAACCAACCAATTTCAAAGAAGTATCCCATTTGTAGGTGGGGAAGGGTGTGGGAAAGTAACTTTTCTCAAAATAGGTTTGTTACAGCTTGTCCTTAACTCCAAGGAACAAACTAACTCATATTATTGACAAGCATCTGCTCACAGAAGTTTGTAGCCTCTTAGGCATTTATGGTCCTATTATTTCATTTTTTCAGGTGTACCTGAAATTAGCAATGTACCTTCCTGACAACTGAGCACATATCCATGTCTATACAGACCAGACTTCTGCTAGCATTTCTCACTGAAAGATTCAAGTTCTTTTACGGAGTATTCTTAGGATTCAGTGGTCACTTGATCTTGTTCTCCAACTATAAGACTTCCTATAATCGTAGGACTTACTTTAATTTATGAATGAACAGGAAATAGCTCCAGGTAGCATAAAAGAAAAAGTAGGCCTTCCAATAATAAGAAAAACCAAGTTTGACAGTATTTCTCCTTCTCTTTTAAAGGTGTCATTATCACCACTGCTGCTAGCAACTGCCAGGGTAGAATTTTAGCCTATTAACCTAATCCGCAGGATTGGATAGTCAAATCAGACTCATCAGTACCAAGTTTTACTAAATATTATGAAAGATAAAATCTACCATAAAGCTTAGATTTTCCTCAGGTCCTTCTCACACAAACTCTGCCCCTCCAGGCCAGAAAAGATGAGTTCTCTAACTGGGTTTCAAGGGATCATCTCGTACAGCAGCAGTAGTTAAATTTTGAAAGATGTTTATTTTATACTCCAGAAACTTGTATAGCTCTGACATTCTCCAGGGAACCGTGTCATATAGACCCTGAGTTCTATTAGATAATCCTTGGCCAGGGACATTCTCTAGGGCATTTTAGAGATAAACTACCTTCTTCATAGCAAGCATCAGCAGTCTCTTTACCTAGGTCATCTTCTTTTTTTTCTTTTCCTGGGGTATCCTACAGAAAAGAAGAATGAGTGGACCTTGCAGGTCAGATTTTTTAACTCCTTTCTTCCATTGTTTTTTCCTTCTGGTCATTTCTCCCTATCATTCCACTTAGCAAGTTTCCTCATGGGTCTAAAAATATTTTCTCCAAATTTCATTGGTGACATTTGTCCTTTATAATTTCCCTTCTTTTTTCTTGCTAAATGTGCCATAGTCAGTGGTTTGTTGGTCCAGTAGACAATATCATTATTACACCAGTATGAGCTAATAAATTAGAGATCTTACCCAGTACCAAGCCTTCCTAATAATTTCAAAGATACAATTGATCAAAAGGTATGGGTAAAGCAGGAAGAGGCCTGGGACATTCCACATGTTTCCTAGGCCTCTGGTTCCTGCATTGGACACTACTGGACACATACGTGCTTAATAGTCTGTATTAAAAGATCAGGACTCTGTTAACTCAGTAGGTCATTATCTCACAAAGCTGGGAGCACTTAAGTTATGAACTATTTTCATTTTATACATCAGAGACATAGCTTAGGTGAAATTCTCCTGGAAGTCATGCTTCATACTCCATAGGTTCTAGGTATGTTTACTACAGGAAATTCTAATCTAAGTGTTCTGGACTATATGCTTGTGTCCTCCCAAAATTTGTATGTTGAGAACCTACCCCTTAGGGTATTAGGAGGTAGGGGATCTGGGAGATAATTTTTTTTTTTTGTAGGTCTTCCAAGTGGCCGGGTTTCTTGAGGGCTTGAGGGTCTACAGGGGAGCCCCAGATGCCTGTGGGGAGGGCCTGCCATCGCCCTAGAGGGGCAGCGGCCCAGCAAGCAGCCAGGGATGGGGTCTCCAAAACCTGGGTTTACTTGAAAGTGTGGCTCTCTGCCCCACCGTGCCTGAAACCTTTGGGGCTGAACATGGCTGCGTAGCAGGGGTGGGTGCAATAGGGCTTGCCTTCATGCTCGGCATGACCCCTTGAGGTCAGCGTCTTTCCACGTTTCTCACATTTCAGGCAAGGGTGATGCCAGTCCTTCCCGAGGGAGGTCACCCGCTCAGCAAAGTACACCTCCTTGTTGCACTTGGGGCACTTGGGCATGGTGGCGCCGTGTCCGGGGCGGGTGGCTGAGCGGGAGCAGAGCACAACGCTGGACTCTATGTCAGAGCATTATGAAATAAGGCACTGAATATATTGACCACAGGGTCTCTGAAAACATGCAAGATGCTGAATCATGTTTAATAGGGATGAAGATAGCAAGCCAGGTACAAGGTCCTTAATGAATGTGGAGAGATGAGTGGGAGTAGATAAAATAGGAACTGCTTAAGATTATTAAAAAGAGTTATACATTGCTAAAAAATATTTATGATTTAGAAGAGACAAAAAATACATCCCTTTCTTTCCAATTAAGAGTCAATTTTCAATTAAGGTAAATGACAGAAAATTCAGTAAAATAAAATTGTACTGGGAATTTTTTTTAGGAAATTCCTGAGAAGTATCTTTCTAATTTCTTTTTGTAAAGTTTTGCATACAATTTATTTAGTACAAAGTTTATTTATTTATGTGGATCTACCTGGGATCTAATATCCTGTTATGTAGATGTGTCTACTAATTTTGCGGGTCTGAGAGTATTTCCAGGAAATTCAGCTACGTATATGGTGACAGGTTCGGTAAATCACAAATGTGAATTTATTGCATTATTCTATTCGCTGAGTTTTCTGTTTCCATGTTGTCATACCTGGCCCACTAGCTAAGAAGTGTGATTAATAAGGTGATTCCAAAGGACCATTTAAGGGTTTGAATGACCTTGTAGCTATTTTATGTAAAAACTGCTTAGAATCATCAGGGATGATTAAATTATACCCATAAACTCCCAACATGGATGATTTGTATGTTTACTAGGAGTCATTAACAAACTATATTTCTACTGGAAAAGACAATAACTATATGAAATGTCAGAGAGTGAAGAGCATGATCAAAATAAAATTAGTTTCCCAGCACTATTATTTTTAGTAATCCTGAAAGAACTAATCCAGTATTTGGTTGATGTTTTGTCAGTAACTTAAAAATATTTTTCAGGAAATTTGTGGACCAAGTTATTTCAAAAGCCTATATATAAGACTGGACACTATAAAACTCTTAGAGGAAACATAGGAAGAACACTCTTTGATGTAAATCACAGCAAGATCTTTTCTTGATCCACCTCCTACAGTAATGGGAATAAAAACAAAAATAAACAAATGGGACCTAATGAAACATAAAAGCTTTTGCACAGTAAAGGAAACCATACACAAGAAGGAAAGACAACCTTCAGAATGGGAGAAAATATTTGCAAAGGAAGCAACTGACAAAGGATTAATCTCTAAAATATACAAAGAGCACATGAAGTTCAATATCAAAACAACAAGCAACACAATCAAAAAATGGGCAGACGACCTAAATAGCCATTTCTTCAAAGAAGACATACAGATGGCCAAAAAACATATGAAAAGATGCTCAACATCACTAATTGTAAGAGAAATGCAAATCAAAACCACAATGAGGTATCACCTCACACCAGTTAGAATGGGCATCATCAAAAAAATCTACAAACAATAAATGCTGGAGAGGATGTGGAGAAAAGAGAACCCTCTTGCACTTTTGGTGGGAATGTAAATTGATACAGCCACTATGGAGAACAGTATGGAGTTTCCTTAAAAATCTAAAAATAGAAGTACCATATGACCCAGCAATCCCACTACTGGGCATATACCCAGAGAAAACCACAATTCAAAAAGACACATGCACCCCAATGTTTATTGCAGCACTATTTACAATAGCCAGGTCATGGAAGTAACCTAATTGTCCATCGACAGATAAATGAATAAAGAAGATGTGGTACATATATACAATGGAATATTACTCAGCCATATAAAGCAATGAAATTGAGTCATTTGTAGAGACGTGGATGGACCTAGGTACTGTCTTACAGAGTGAAGTAAGTCAGAAAGAGAAAAACAAATATCATATATTAATGCATATATGTGGAATCTGGAAAAAAGGAAGAGATGAACCTGTTTGCAAGGCACAAATAGAAACACAGATACAGAGAACAAATATATGGACACCAAGGGGGCAAAAGGGGAATGGGATGAATTGGGAGATTGGAATTGACATATATACACTAATATGTATAAAACAGATAACAAATGTAAACGGCTGTATGCACAGGGAACTCTACTTCACTTCTCTGTACTGTAGAAACTAACACAACATTGTAAAACAACTATACCCCAATAAAAAAAATCAAAGCCAAAAAAAAAAAAAGCCTATATATATTTGACAACATTTAAAGTTATGATTCATTCAAATCACTTTATATATCTATGGGAACTATGTCAGAATTATATCTTAAAGTACCGAGTTGAAACACAATTTTTTAATTTTATTTACCATCTTTATTGGAGTATAACTGCTTTACAATGGTGTGTTAGTTTCTGCTGTATAACATAGTGGATCAGCTACAGATATACATACATCCCCATACCCCCACCCTCTTGCGTCTCCCTCCCACCCTCCCTATCCCACCCCTCTGGGTGGTCACAAAGCACCAAGCTGATTTCACTGTGCTATGTGGCTGCTTCCCACTAGCTATTTTACATTCGGTAGTGTATATAGGTCCAGGCCACTCTCTCATTTCATCCCAGTTTACCCTTCCTCCTCCCCATGTCCTCAAGTCCATTTTCTAAGTCTATATCTTTATTCATGTCCTGCCCTTAGGTTCTTTAGAACCATTTTGTTTTTTTACATTCCATATATATGTGTTACCATACGGTATTTGTTTTACTCTTTCTGACTTACTTCACTCTGTATGACAGACTCTAGGTCCATCCAACTCACTACAAATAATTTAATTTCATTTCTTTTTATGGTGAATAGCATTCCATTGTATGTATGTGCCACATCTTCTTTATCCATTCAACTGTCAGTGGACACGTAGGTTGCTTCCATGTCCAGGCTACTGTAAATAGTGCTGCAAAGAACATTGTGGTACATGAATCTTTTTGAATTATGGTTTTCTCAGGGTATATGCCCAGTAGTGGGATTGCTGGGTTGTATGGTAGTTCTATTCTTAGTTTCTTGAGGAACCTCCAAACTGTTTTCCATAGTGGCTGTATCAATTTACATTCCCACCCACAGTGCAAGAGAGCTCCCTTTTCTTCACACCCTCTCCAGCATTTATTATTTTATTTTTTGCGGTACGCGGGCCTCTCACTGTTGTGGCCTCTCCCATTGCAGAGCACAGGCTCCAGACGCGCAGGCTCAGCAGCCATGGCTCATGGGCAAAGCCGCTCCACGGCATGTGGGATCTTCCCGGACCGGGGCACAGACCCGTACTCCCTTCATCGGTAGGTGGACTCTCAACCACTGCGCCACCAGGGAAGCCCCTCCAGCATTTATTGTTTGTAGATGATTTGATGATGGCCATTCTGACCAGTGTGAGGTGACAACTCATTGTAGTTTCGATTTGCATTTCTTTAATGATTAGTGATGTTGAGCATCCTTTCATGTGTTTTTGGCAATCAGTATATCTTCTTTGGAGAAATGTCTATTTAGTTCTTCTGCCCATTTTTGGATTGGCTTGTTTGTTTTTTTGATATTGAGCTACAGGAGCTGCTTGTATATTTTGGAGATTAATCCTTTGTCAGTTGCTTCATTTGCAAATATTTTCTCCCATTCTGAGGGCTGTCTTTTCATCTTGTTTATGGTTTCCTTTGCTGTGCAAAAGCTCTGAAGTTTCATTAGGTCCCATTTGTTTTTGTTTTATTTCCATTTCTCTAGGAGGTGGGTCAAAAAGGATCTTTCTGTGATTTATGTCATGGAGTGTTCTCCCTATGTTTTCCTCTAAAGCTTTATAGTGTCTGGCCTTACATTTAGGTTTTTAATCCATTTTGAGTTTGTTTATGGTGTTAGGGAGTGTTCTAATTTCATTCTTTTACATGTAGCAGTCCAGTTTTCCCAGCACCACTTATTGAAGAGGCTGTTTTTCTCCACTGTATATTCTTCCTCCTTTATCAAAGATAAGGTGACCATAGGTGTATGGGCGTATCTCTGGGCTTTCTATCCTATTCCATTGATCTATATTTCTGTTTTTGTGCCAGTAGCATACTGCCTTGATTACTGTAGCGCTATAGTATACTCTGAAGTCAGGCAGCCTGATTCTTCCAGTTCCAGTTTTCTTTCTCAAGTTTGCTTTGGCTATTCGGGGTCTTTTGTGTTTCCATATAAATTGTGAATTTTTTTGTTCTAGTTGTGTGAAAAATGCAATTGGTAGTTTGATAGGGATTGCATTGAATCTGTAGATTGCTTTGGGTAGTAGAGTCATTCTCACAATGTTGATTCTTCCAATCCAAGAACATGGTATATCTCTCCATCTGTTTGTATCATCTTTAATTTCTTTCATCAGTGTCTTATAGTTTTCTGCATACAGGTCTTCTGTCTCCCTAGGTAGGTTTATTCCTAGGTATTTTATTCTTTCTGTTGCAATGGTAAATGGGAGTGTTTCTTTAATTTCTCTTTCAGATGTTTCATCATTAGTGTATAGGAATGCCAGAGATTTCTGTGACTTAACTTTGTGTCCTGCTACTTTACCCAATTCACTGATTAGGTCTACTAGTTTTCTAGTAGCATCTTTAGGATTTTCTATGTATAGTATCATGTCATCTGCAAACAGTGACTTTTTTTCTTAATCTTTTCCGGTTTTGATTCCTTTTATTTCTTTTTCTTCTCTGATGGCTGTGGCTGAAATTTCCAAAACTATGTTGAATAACACTGGTGAGAGTAGGCAACCTTGTCTTGTTCCTAATCTTAGTGGAAATGGTTTCACTTTTTCACCATTGAGAACGATATTGGCTGTGGGTTTGTTATATATGGCCTTTATTATCTTGAGGTAAGTTCCCTCTTTGCCTACTTTCTGGAGACTTTTTATCATAAATGGTATTGAATTTTGTCAAAATCTTTTTCTGCATCTTGAGATGATCATATGGTTTTTCTCCTGCAATTTGTTAGTATGGTTTATCACACTGATTGATTTGCATATATTGAAGAATCCTTGCATTCCTGGGATAAACCCCACTTGATTATAATGTATGATCCTTTTAATGTGCTGTTGGATTCTGTTTGCTAGTATTTTGTTGAGGATTTTTGCATCTA